GAGGGCAAGGGAAGTGATTATTCTCCTCTATTCAGCACTGGTGAGGCCACATCTGGAGTACCGTGTTCAGTTTTGGGTCTGCCGCTACAGAAAGGATGTGGACAAATTGGAGAGAGTTCAGTGGAGGGCAATGGAAGTGGTGCGTGGTCTGGAGAACATAACTTATGAGGTGAGACTGAAGTAATTGGGTTTATTTAGTCTAGAGTACACAAGACAGAGGGAATTTAATAGCAACCTTCAACTACCCGAAGGAAGGTTCAAAAGAGGACTGTTCTCAGTAGTGACAGATGACAGACAAGGACATACGGTCTCCAGTTGCAGCAAGGGAAGTTTAAGTTAGATATTAGGAAGAATTTTCTCACTAGGAGAGTAGTTAAACACTGGAGCAGGTTGCCCAGAGAGGTTGTGGAATCTCCATCCTTGGAAGTTTTTAAGACTCTGCTAGACAAAGCCTTGGCTGTGATGATCTAGTTGGGAGTGGTCCTGTTGTGAGCAAAGGGGTGGACCTCCTGAGGTCCCTTCCAACCCTAATTTTCTATGATTCTATGATCTCTTGCCCATACTTATTACAGAATGTGGAATGGTGTGACAGGAGGCAGGGCTTATAAGTAAAGAGAAGTATGGTCTTATGTTTAATGCTGCCCTAGAGCATAATGTTCTTTCTCCATCTCTGCTATGGAATCTTTGCACGCTGTCAGGCAAGTCATTTAAACTAAGTATTTAACAGGCAGCCATTAATTTTTCCTTTCTTCATGGCATTTGCTACCCTGGGGTGTGATTTGCAGAAGTGCCCACCACTCACAATGCATCAAAAATTAGTGTAAGCTCTGCCGTGAAAACATGAAATACTACCTAATGCTATGGGGTAAGGGGGAGAAGGGGAAAATCGGGTTCTATGAGTCTTAAAATTGTTGCGATTTTTATCCTTAATCTCTGCATTTCTGCTCCCCCCTGTACTGGAGTATAGTTACTTCTTCACTTCACAGGGGTTTCATGAAGATGCATAAATATTTGAAAGTCAGTCAAATGCCATGGTCATGAGTGCTACAGAAGAATCCATGAGAAAAGTAAATAACCATTAAAACAAAGCTGGGTCTATACACTGGGCAAAAAATTTAAAAAAACCCCAAAACACAAAAAAACCCCCAAACCATTGGTCATTCACAAAGCACCACCCACCCAGGGCAATGGATGTGACAGGGACCCTGTGGAAAAAATGTGACCATGTCATCAGACAAATGTCATAATGCACATGCAAAGGAGGGATGACTTAAGGTGGGTACATACCACCTTAATTCAGCCTTCCAGGGTATAATTATTTGAAATATATTAAATAAAATCTTCCCTTTGACAACTGTTGTCAATGGTTTCTGATCCCCCACTCTCCATTTCTGTCAGACCACCAGAAAACAGCAGTAAAGTAGCACCATCATAACAAGCGGCTAGAATCCAAACTAGTTTTCCCAGCGTGTCAGTGATTCAGTGTTTCTGAGTTCTGGTTAAAGTATGCCTCTGCTATTTTTGTCATCAAATGACTTCCATGGAATAGATCTGAACTGAAAGCAAACACCTCTGCATTTCCAGACTTTCTTAATGCTGTGCTAACTTTTTTATTTTTAGGGTTATCTATGCAGGATTTTTTCCAGTTATGCTAGTATAGCTATGCTGTTATAGTAATAACTCTCCCGCCCCCTTTTTTTTTTTTATTTCAGTCCAATTCAAAATGGTTTCCAAGTTCACGTACATTAAGCCAGTAAAAGGTCCTCACTTCAAAATAAGAATTTCTCCTGGGGAGTTACACTACTGTAATTATACTGTTTTGAATTCACACAGTACCTCATAGTAATATAACTTCCCCATGTAAAGAAGCCCAATACACCATAACCACCGAGTGACCTTTGACAACTGAACCCACATATTTGAGCATCCTTATAACATGGTTTACAGTTCCACTCTGGAACACTAAAGAAAATAAAAAGCATTAAAAAGGTTCTATTCGTTACCTGATGTAGCCGAGGACTGTTCCACTATTCCAACCTTTACCACCTAGGATGGAAAAAACAGCTGAGTCGCATGTAATGGCAAGCTCCAAAACTTGAAATAAACTTAGCCAAAACATTCCGCCCCACAAGTTCTCTTTGCATGATTTTAATGATGCAATAGGACCAAAGAGATGTTTTAAAAACATGTAGCAAATATTCTGGTCAGGGGATCACATAGCTGGCCTACTAGCAGCCATATAGCACTCCCTTGACTCCCACTATTTAAAAGACACAGACTACAGAGTGCTGTCAAAAGCTCTCATAAGTTTGAGAGATCTTGCAGTTTAGATTATACTAGGGGCTATTAACAGCTCCAAGGGGTCTCCGGGAATAAGAAAGGGAGTAGAAAGGCACCTAAAACCCACTCTTGCTCATCACTTCTGTTTAGTCAAGTGCAAGCATGGCACACACCTGTAGAGACAAGCCTCTTCCCTTATTATCAAAATGCAACCACATCTGGGGTGCTGTTTGGCCATATACCTACACTACAGCAAAGCAAGTAACAGTTTCCAGTTGATAATAGTCTACCATCAAAATAAATGCCTCCAGCACTGGTTAATGTTAGAGGATCATCACATCTTTTTGTGCATTCAATATGTGAAGTTGTAATGGGGTGGGGGAGGAGGAGGATACGGAAATCCAAATTGGAGCTCCTGACCAGGACACTAAGGCTAACAGACACTAACGGAGTATAAGTGTATTGAGACATGATGATTTGACTCCTAACCAGTCAGCCAGTGCATAGCATCAATTTATTAAAACTTTATATGAGGGAGAGGGAGAGACAAATTAGGTTTTATATTCTAAACCAATCATCCTTATTGTTACTGTTAACATTCTCTGAGACGATTGAAAGTCATTCTGAAGCCTTAAGACTGATACTTAATTTACGAGAATAACATTAGTAGGAGAAAAGTGGCCAATATATTGCAATGAGTCAACATGAAACACAGGAAAAGGCCTAAAGGATGATAAATGTAAGTAGCTTCAATATCAGGAAGTCAGTCTTTTGACCTTTTCCATTTCTACTCTGAGGCCTCCACTACCTGTTACATGCATTACACAATTAACTGGTTAATTGCACAATTAATTTAGTCTGGCTACATGTACAAAGCAATTAACACACTATAAAAAGGTCCAACCAGCTATAAAGTTAGAGCTCAAAAGTGTGCAATATCTTTATCGCTGATTGCAATCCAGCTTTAATTTGCACACGTAGCAGGGGGCTGGGAGTGCTGTAGCTGAGGGGACTTCTCAGCCCCTCCAGCGCCCCACAGCTGCCAGGATGGAGAGACCTGAAGCTGATGGGACTTTTGGTGCCAAGCAGCTGCAGGGCTCTTGGTCCTGGTGGCTATAGGGCTGCCAAAGGACAGAGAGTCTGCAGCCAAGAGACTCTTGGTCCCAGCAGCTCTGGGATACTGCCACAGCTTCAAGTCCTATAGCTGACAGGAGCTGCAGGAGCTTTTTACTTGCTGGTGCAGGGGGAGCCTGAGTGGCATTCCCGGACGTCCCTTGGACCAGCATAAGGCATGATAGGATCTTATGCTGAATCCCACAATCACGCCTCCTGCGTGTGGCATGCAAGAGGAACAACTGGGTGAATTGCGCATCAGATCCTATCATACCTTTACCTGAATGTTCAGAGGAGTCCTGATGGTCAGAGCTGCACTCTGTAGCTTGGGAGTTGCATGTATACCCTGACATAGGAAGAACAAAGATGACTTCAAACAAAATTACTTAACCCTTCACTTAATGTGGGAGATCAGCAGAAGGCTGCTTCAGCTCCAACAAAGCCTTCATACCAAGAATGCCTCTGCTGACTTCTCTTTCCCCTCAGGAAGAATGTGCATCCTGTTAAGGTCCCTTGATAATCAGCAAGCTGCTAACACAACATTCATAGGTTTGCAATCATTGTACTACACAGGCAGGACCTGGGTTTTTACAGATTAGGCAGCAAGCCCTTCAGAACAGGGACTAATTTCCTGCGTGCGTGGTATCCAGCACAAGCACCATCCTGGCTAGACCATCTTTGTGAGTTCAAGAACAATACTCCTCTGAAAGGGTTCCCTTTATAATGATAAAAGCTCCCCTACTACAAAAATGGGGTACAGATTTAGCCTTTGTTCGGGGGAGCAAACCAACCAACAAACCACAACCTCAGGTGACAAAAAGCAGCACATAGCATTTTGTTTGGAGGAATCTAACCCAAATACAAGTCTAACCCAATTCTGACTAACATGTAAAACCACATATAGGATTGCCATGTGCTATGGCACAGTGATGGGCAATTATTTCAGCCTGAGGGCCACATAAGGAGTTTTGATGAGCTGTTGTGGGCTCGGTCAGCACCCCCTCCCCTCCCCACAAGCAACAACTCACCAAAATTCTCTATGGGGTTTTGGGTGGGTGGGAAGCAGTGTTCAGGAACAGGATGGCCACGATCTGCTCCCTGCATGCCTTGCCTTTGCAGGGGTAAAAGAGGGGGTGCTGCTGCCAGGGAGCCAGCCAGGCATGAGGAGAGGGTGTAGCAGAGCTTGCCCTATCTGTGACTGCCCGCTGTGCTCTGCATGGGGCCGAACCCCATCCAGGGCAGCATGTGCCTGCTAGCCCAGCCCCGGCCCGTGCATAGCTTCTGGCAGGGCTGTTTCTGGTGCTATTCTGCTCTCCTCACCTCAAGCAGAAGCCGCCCAGTTACCCAAAGCAGTGCAGCAAGGGCAGGAACAGGAAAGCCACTGCTGGAGGCGAGGGGAGCAGGGCAGTACTCAGCCAGGTGCAGCTGCACTGGGAACAGCCCTCCTGGAAACTGCATGCTAGCCAGGGCCTGGGCTCATGGGTCTGTTCTACTTTCCTCGCCTCCAGCTGCAGGTCCTGCTCCTGCCCCTGCTGCACTACACCAGGCGGGGGGGGAGCTTCAGCTGGATGGATGCTGTCCCAGTGCGTAGGACTCCAGCTCCAGCTCCCAGCTGCCTTCCATCCGCTCTGCCCACCTGGCACAACGAGCAGCCACCTGCAGTGGGCAAAGCAGGTGGACAGCGGCTGGGAGCTGGAACCAGAGCCCCACGCACTGAGGTGGGAGCCACCTGGCTGAAGCTCCCCCACCCCCGTCTGGAGCAGTGTGGCAGGGACAGGAGGAAGAGCCACAGCTGGAAGCATGGGGAGCAGAACGGTCCAGGCCCCAGCCAGCGTGCAGCTTTCAGCAGGGCTGTTCCTGGTGTGGCTGCAAGTGGCCAAGTGCTGCTCTACTCCCCTCACCTCCAGTGGTGGCTTCTCTTCCTGCTCCTACCCCTGATGCACCCTTCCAGCCAGGTGGGTAGTGAGGGGGAAGCTTCAGCTGGGTGGCTCCCACTGGAAGCAAGGGGAACAGAGCAGCACCTGGCTAGCTGCAGCCTCACCAGGAACAGCCCCGTCAGAAGCTGCATGTTGGTGGGGCCTGGGCTAGCAGGAGAGCAGCGCTGGCTGCCGCAGTGGAAAAGGGTGGGGCTTAGCCCCATGTGGAACACTGCAGAGACAGCCATGGGCCAGATCCAGTCAGTTGACAGGCCATATTTTACCCACTCCTGCTATAGCACTACTTAAAATGTTTCTAATTGTTCTGAATATACCACAGCAAAGTAGAAAGCTAACAACTATATATTAAGATTCAGCTGCAAATTCTGGTCTCCTTTTTTCTTAATTGCTCAATCTCCCCATTAGAATTTTTCCACTGATGTTCTTCTTGGAAATGGCATGCTTGGATAATTTGAAAACAAAAACGGTTGAAGCTAGAAAAAGTTCAAGCCTTAGGTCTCTGAACAACATGAGACCAGATCCGCATTTAAAAAAAAACAAAACAAAACAAGATCTACCAATACCTCTTCAATTCTATGCTTCCAGGATAGGAAGAATATTTTCCTTTGGTTACCCAAGCCCTGAAGCAGGAGGGTGCTATTGATTTAAAAAGAAAATGAACTTTCATAACTTTAGATCTAGTGAACCAGGATTGTTCAAACTAGTTTTATTCCTCAGAGTAGGAAACTTGATCAAGCCAAGATAGAGATCTTTATAACGTTTGCAGGATGTGCTGTGTGGTATTTAGACCATTTAAAACCTAATGCCTTTGAGTTGGAACTGAAATATTCTGTAATACCACATAGATCTAGAGCCCAGTTATGGGTCTCAACAAAATAAACTGACCCCAGATCTTACGTGACATTCAAGGTCATGAAAATGCTTGTAAGCATAAGAACAGCCTGCATAATTCATCTCTGGAATAGAAGTAATTTAAGGCAGTGAAGAGTCAAAGCCAGGATTTGTTGTCCTAAACCAGAGAGGTGTTGAAATGAAAGGAAGATGAAGTTGTGTCACGGGTCACCATTAGGTTAAGGCAACCTAAGCTCTACAAATAGTTGAATCTTTGGAAGGGACATATGGAAACTGTATTATGCTAATCTAAAACAGGAACAACACAAAAAGCCAATTTAAGTCACACCATATATAAAAGCAAAAGATATTAAAAAACCAAAAACGAAAACAAAATGACAAGAGACATCTAGTGGCTAAAAGAGCTCAGCTGAATCCTGCTTTCCACTCTAGCTCAACTTCTAACTCAGTGTCTCAGGGGATTAAAGGACCTGGTTCAAAATAGGAAAGAAACCTGAGAACAGTAAAACTGCTATGCTTCAAGAGACAGCAGCAGGAGCATTAAGTAGAGTCAGGTGACAAGTTTCTGTGTCTTTCAATGCGTTTACAAAAGCTGTATAAATGCAATAGCAATTTATACTCCCCTCAAGTCTGATGCACTTACTTGCATTAAAGTTTAAACATGAGGATTGGGGAAAAACTGATAGGTTAGCAGATTCCATGCTGAACAAGTATGCTAAATGCAAGAGAGGATTCCATTTTAACCAGGATAAACAGAGTGACCTGGAGAAAGATAGACCACTAAAACTGAACTTTGACCCAAAGCAAGACTGTGGAAAGCTAGTATGGGATGCTGCCACTGAAGTATTAAAAGATGATGCAATAATTCTTATAAATTATGCTGACTGCAATATAGGTCTTTTGTCAAAACCAGTATTTTCGATGAGTTTATAAATTCAGCTGTTGATGATAACCAGGCTGATATATCCAAGAACCATGGCAAAATATTTGATCTAGTACTGCACATCTATATGTTCTGGATTAATGGATAATTATGTCCTAGAAAACAAATGCATATGGGAATCCCCTTGCCCTCCCCTTTAAGTAGGGCGCTTTTAATGAGATCCTATTTATATCTTTCTGTTTTGTTGAGAAATGGTATTGAAATAATTTCGTAATTCAGTCCACAGATGACAAATATTAGAGTAATAGATAAGAACTGATCAGTTTTGTAGAACAAGTTTGATTACTTGAACATGGAATTTAAATCAGGAAAATACATGATCACATTTGGTAACTAAAAATTATAGGGCATATGTACAGGGCCAGGGACTTTATCTTGGAAAGTAATGACTCTGAAGAACAAAGTCTCACCAGTTCAGTTGGTCATCCTGTTCAGTTGGTGAATAAACAACTGAACAGGATGCAGAAGCAAGCTGAGCTATTTTGACTCTCTGATACAAGGAGGGAAATATTCAGGAGGAGTAAGGAGGTTCACTCCTGTGTATTGAACTGAAGAAACTGATACTGGACACTACATCCAGGTCTAAAAGTGTAGATAACCAAAAGGACGCTGACAAACCATAACAGACTCAGAAATCAGCCACAACAGTGATAGGCAGTCAGTAAAATCCCAATTGATTTTACCAAAAGACAGGTGACTTTCCTTCTTTAAGCTGAAAGAAACAGCTACCCAGTTGAGCTTGAGGTGGTTTGTTTAATTATGAAGAGATGTTAGACAGGCAAGGTTAGATTTTAATTTGGCCAGAAGGTCCAGAGCATAGAAGCAGGTCTGAATCATCATCAAGGAGAAGATAGCTACATTTGTGCCTATGGATGAACCTATCCAAAGAAAAGATGCACAAAGAGGACAAGATCAAGAGAGACTTGTAGGGACCCCAAGAGAAAGGAGGTCATAGGGATCATCCTAAAGACATAACAAAGGAACAGGAGATGTACCAAGGAAACCAGGAGATGCTGAAATGCAGTAAGCCAATGGAGGCTAATATTTTTTAACAAGAGCATAGTTTGTGTTAAAGGTGTCAAAGAGGAGGATGATGAATTACTGTCTCAACTATGGGCAAGTAGTAGTTGTAGGATACTTTAGCAAGAGCAGTTTCAGCAGAGTATAAGGGCCAGACTCTAGAGTGTAGAGGAGGATAGAAACTTCTGAACATGACAGAAGGAAAATGAGGAAGAGATACATTAATTCACAAAAGTTATGGACTTAAGGCAAGAAACACTGGGTGAGGATCTGCAGTCCATTTTATGCATGTTTTCACATGTTTGTATAATTATAAATATTTATTTTTACAATATAATTCTAACTAACCCATGGATGTCTGTTTCCTGGTGTATTAATTTCATCTTGATTATTCATTCAGTAAATACTTGTTTTAAAAGGGGGGCAAACCATTTACCAGTTTACTGGAGAATAATAAGCTAAATGTAGTCTGATAGCAACAAGTAAACTAAGAGAGATTTGTGTTTGAAGGTGATCACTCTGCTACATTTGTTTGCTAGCAATTTGTAGGTTCCTTTTTGCAAAAGTTTTTATTTTTTCATTTTGAAATTATTGGTAAAATATCAGCATTAATTTATTTCAAGTTTTAGGCTACGTAGTGACACAAGATGCATTCCTTTACGCTCAGCCAATATGCATACTGTTGATAATATAAGATTTGATATTGATATCCTTAACTACAGTATTTAAATTTCAATGACTGGACTTTGAGGTTAGAAGTTTAAAATTTAAAGTATCTGCTCTCCTGAGCTTTATATTTTCTGTAGGTTGCCAAAATCTCACTTCAGGGTTTTACTACAAGTTACATTATGCAGTTCCATCCAGCCAAAGATAACAGGCACAAAAACAAGCAATCTAAGCTTTAAGACTGGACAAAAAGTGCAAGGCTTTTTCAATTTAAAAAAAATTCACAGGTATATCCCTTGCTCAACTTCAGTAGAAGGGCATTGATTAATTTAATATGAACTTTACAGCTCAAGACTTGTTGCTTTCTGGATGACTTCCCTTAGTCAAACATGGAATGGTCTGGACTCAATAAAAAACACAACTGGATGACATACTAAAACTTTTCTAGGGTTGAGGTCAGATTGATGATCCCCTCCCAGTCCCTTCTGACTTAAGGATCTATGAGTGCCAGTACATTGATTAAAATAATCAGAACCTTGTTACCTTCATCCTCAACACAATACTCACCCCAACAAACGGAATGAACTTCTGGGAGGATTCTTCATCAGGGCTGAAAAGTAATGGAGAAAGAGTCATTAATAGCCTATTTCACAAAAGTGTTGTTCATTTTAAGGTTTCATTCTCAAGCATGCAGCAGAAACAGAAAAGTGCACAAGCGCCACTTCTATTACTTTTCTTGATGCATCCTCTGGCACTACTTAAGACAACCCACGCAGGCTGGAAAGGATTTCATATTTTGTCAGGGAGAACTTTCTTTAAAGAATATACCGATCTCCCTCCTTCACATTTGCTTTTTTTCCTTTTCTTTTTAAACAGAGAAACATGCTTTAATGCCAAGGCAATAGTTACAGAAAAATGTTTTTATTGTTACAAAGAAATGAATCTGTCACAACATACAACACCTGCAATATGGAGAACTGTAGGTCACTTACTAGTAACTGGAGCTTTCTGAATGCACTGCCTTCACAAGTCCCATTTTTGGAGTCATGTGCCATAGCTTGCAAATCACAGAATCACTAAAGCAGTTATAGCCTGCCATAGAGTTACAAGCCATAACACACTGTTATTTGTATGGCACTAGGCACACACACAAGAACACATGCTCCCTGCAACAAGAAGCTTACAACCCAAGTGAAACAAGTACAGTCCAAAACAGAGCTGAGGCACCAGAGTAGAAACGGAGCATGCCAGCAAGGTCAGCGTTGACGATGCTCAATGGAATTCAAAGCGGCCTTGGAGGAGAGGCAATCTAGTTCTAAGGGGTGTGATGGAACAAGGGAAGATGCCCCTTATGAATGCCAAAAGGTATGGAGAGGGCACTACATACATCCCGAAAGAAGCATCACAGAAGCCCCATCCAGAATTCAAAAACTAAAGGATGGAGGAAGAGAAAAAAAAAACTTGGAGCTGTTAAAGGACAGAACAATGGGAGATGGCAGACACAGGGTGAGGAGTCAGCGAAAGAAAGAAACAGCAGGCAGGAGAGACAGAGGAAAAGATGGCAGCTGCTGGGGACAAATGCCTTTGAAGAACCACTGAGATGCCCCAAATGCAAAAAGGAGGGAGGTGGTTAGAATGGCAAAGGTCAGGAGGGAATAATTTGAGTGACTCTTTGAGCAGGAACTGGAGTAACTTGAATTGTGTGCGTGTACAAGCAAAAGTTGCATTTTGAAATGGACATGATCAAACAAGTCTGGGGTGGAAGGTTTCCTGTCCGCAGCCAAACTCAGAAAGCAAGTGGGGAACAATGATGGTTGATAATTTCTAAAGAACAAATTAATGATTTGCAAGTACTTGGATCTTGCAATATTGCTAGATAGGCAACTTTGCAAAGTTGGCAACACCTACAACAGGGCTTACTAGAGTCCCAATCTGCAAATTAAATCAAGCTGAAAGTAGGGAAGGTGCTGACAGCTGCACCATTAGAACAGGCTAGACAGTTTCTTTCAAGCGCTACATAAAGGGTGGTGCATAGCTACAAGAAATGTGACTCGCTCACAGCCCCTTCCTGGTCTGAACCATAGCAGGGCACAACTCACTCCTGCATGGTCTCAACCCTCGCGGGCACATCCAAACTGAACCAGTGCTCCAAATCACTCCCTGCCCCCCAGCTCCAACAGTTTTCTTCATGCTTCCATCCTACTGAGTGAGGACAAGACACTAGATGCCTGGGACTTTATTTTGGTTACATTCTTAAGCACAATGTCAGCTGAGACAGTGAAAGAGCATCCTTTAGAAACCCAGCTGAAGATATCCCACTAAAATACCTGAAACTGAGAAATGCAATTGAGCCACATATCTGACAAATCCCCAGTGGACAACTGGCATGTGTGGAGTTGCTGAGATAGAACAATTGATAGAATTCCAGTCCTTTGTTTCCTTGGTCTCAGCAGGTTCAGAGTATTCATTGTCTGAAATAATGGTGTGCTACCTAACCATTAAGCCAGTAGAGCAATGCAAGTATCATGCTGCTTAATCTTCCTGCTGTTCAAGTTCTTTGCTCTAAGCACTAAAAGCCAAACACACACATTGTTCCAGTACAAAGCCTGTTCTGCTGAGGACCTTCATGGCAACAATGCAGATCCCTTCCAAGGAATGTTGAGAAGCTGGTCATTCATTAATAGCACTTTGTTCATTTTTAAAGAGAAAGTAGCAATGATTCCCCACCCCCTCTCCCCCAACCCTGATGAGTGATGGCAGTTTTTTAAATGACAACTAAATAGGATGTCAGTTAGAAGTATTAACTCTAAAAAAAATCTTAGGTTGGAAGATTAAATATATAATTATTTCTCTTTTGTGCTGTATAGAAGCTTACTTATTTTTGCTTACTCCTACTAATTGTCTTACAGATTTCTCTAGGGAAACATCAACAGGATGTAGGTTCATACTGGCCCCCTATATGCTACAACAAGTATAAAGAAAGCCCTACAATTAAAACAAGGGCTTGTCTAATGGGGGAGATGCTCAAGAAAACTAGTAAGAATTAAAACAGATTTGTTAAGCCATATTAAATACATGTATAGATACTTATTCAGAATTAAAGTGCCCTTTATTTGCTTCAGTTTAATTTCCATAGGACAAAGTATTCTGAATTTTAAAAAAATGTACACAATTGGGATTAAATATGGTTTTACTTAGGGGTGTCAAATACATGGCCTGCGGGCCAGATTCAACCCATGAAGCCCTATAATCTAGCCCACGGTGCTGCCTGTGGGTCTTAGACTGGGCACACTCTTGCTGAGAAAGGAAACATCTTTGTTATTTAAGACTCTCTGACCCATTCATATTCAGTATGGGGAAGGCAGTGTCAGTATGTACCACCATGGCACAGCAAATGCAGGGGTGTCACCCTACAGCATCCATGTCTGTGTTGCCACCCTTCAACAAGAGTTACTGGCACTGTTATTGTGATACTGCCAGTGTTACTACTGTCTACTGGACGGGAGCCAGCCTTCTATGGCTCAAGGGACATACATGCCAACTCTGTCTAGTCAGGTTCAGAGATACCCCTAAAATCATTCATCATCACATGACATTCACTGAAGTACATACATCAGGAAGTAAAACTGCTACTTTCCTGGCATAATCTGAGGTCACTCTTTTACTGTGTTGTTTGTGCTCTGAGAGGGGCAACTGTGACCATTCTGTTTGCAATATGAGAGAGGGAGAGAGTGCAGAACACAGTAACTGTAGAACACAAATTCACCATAAATTTGAAGAGGTAGAAAAAAAAAAAGTGACACACCCCCATCTTCCCAGTACAAATGAGCAATGCTGTCATTTTGATATGCCAAGCTGCACGCAAGATGCATGCAAAAGGTATTCACAAATGGCAAGGCACAAAATTGTACTGGCCCCTGAATTGCAATGGGCGACACTGGCTTGGTTTTTTTACACTACCAGCAAATGCTAGGTAACCTTGTTAAGCCAACTAGTCTGAGTTACTGCTGGTGGTCAAGGTGTTTCAACCATGATGAACAAAGCCTGGAAGATTTCTTCAGTACAGACACAGCAGTCATTCATTCTTGTGAGTCATCTAAACAGACATCTGCCCCTAAATGCAAGACTACTCCTACAGGATTCTTCTGTTCCCTTCTATTCCCCTTGGTGTTGTCTAATGTAATTAGATGTTACTCACCTGGAACTTAACACTTATTTCAGTGATTTTGTAACCAAATCATTCTCCCCTGCCCCCTTTACTCACCAGGACATGGGTTCAGCTGTGGCTGTCACACCCCGCTCCTTTGTGGTGCTGAGCATCCCTGATATGCTGATGCCCTGCCCATGCCATTGCCCCTGACTTCTAAGCCATAGCTCCCCCAGCCCTGCTGGTGCCCCTCACTTCTGACTTACAGTCCCACCAGCTCTGTTTGTGCCCCTCACTCCCAACTCATAG